TGCGCGTGCTAATTTTTATTTTAAAAAAATGTTTTTTTTTACTTTTTTTCGGCGCACTGCATTATTCATTCCTGTCGTCTGCTTCTTCTGTACCATCGGTTAGGGAATCAGTAGAATTTCACTGGTGGAGTCGACCCCTTCGTGTTTGCATGGATAGTTCCCCCCTTTCTGTTGGGGTGACATCGCGGAACGAGGGATGTTTTAATTTGTTCATGCAGGGGCTGACGACAATGAATAATTATGCCTGAAGTGGGTATGCGTCATTGTTAATAGGTGATCAAGAAACACGTTTCTTTAATGTGTTGGAGCATTGAACGAACCAGTCGTTATGCAATTCGCATTGTGTGACGCCTGGTTGGGTTCCTTTATGTTTTTTAATGCTTTAGTAGTCAAGTCAACGCAATTGCTCTAAAGACATCAGGCTTCCAGTTCAGTAGCGTGACTCAGTTGCAGAATACTGGGCTGGCACGCAGCGGAACACGGTTCAAACGCCATTGCTTCAATAGCGTTTCTTTTTTATTTACTGGGTCTTTTTTTTTCTTGCGATACTGGACTGGCGGCGGCGGACAACTACGGCGCCGCACGTGACACGCGTGTTAAGATCTCATAACAGCTTTCGCGGTAAAATTAACTAATATGTGCGCGCGCTTCGTCATGTAGCCGTAGGTAGGTCTTTAGGAGTTCCATGACTACATCGGCAGAGTTAGTTAAGCCAGTGTGATACCAGGCTTAATTGCACCTCTCTGGAGAAGGGGGCCACCTGAGAGGTGTCCCAAAGGGAAAGGGGGTTGGTGGTACTGTAATGTCTCTTTAGCGGGAAATACGGGCGCGGGAAGGCGCGTTCAAAGCGCAGCTGCAGTACCCCCTCCCCCCCCCCCCCACTCCTTTTTATGCTGCCTTCCCGTCGACTTCGTTCTGAACTTGATACTGCAGCTGGACTACTCTCACAAAATGTCATCACGCATATCTGAAGTGTAAGTGCCGCAGCGAACTTTGGTTTAACATAATATACGCACTGCGTCAGAGGCGCAGCCAGAGAGTAGCACACCGAACCCCTGTCCGCCCCCCCCCCCTTTTTTTTTTTTTTGCCGCACGGTGTCGCGAAAAATGACTATTAGCCTGGCCGGTCCCCATTCAGATCCAATAGGTTCCCCACCCCCTACCGAAAAAATTGTGCCACAACGGTCCGGACGACGGTGGCTGAAATAGCAGAGCAAGTGGCGATTGCGTTGGCCTTGCTGGATAACAGGAGGTCCACAATTTACAGTGACTCGAGATCAGCGGTCCGAGCCAAGGGAACAATATCGGAACTAGCTTTGTGAATTCTTCGGGACAAGGACATCGAGCCACACACACTCGTTTGGTTCCCAGCTCATATGGGACGCATTGAGGGAGCCCCGCCCAATCTCAACGAGTCAGCTAGGACTAGTACTAGGCGCTAGGACTAGTAACCGCGTATAACTATCGGGGGGCGCGGCGCTGATGTCTTGGAGAACCGTGACCCTCCCATCTCATATAATGAATTGATTAACAAAACAATTTTACATGGCGCGGAGACAATACCCTCCACCGCACAGAAAACTAAGCAGACCTCAGGCTCTGACACTCGGACTTCTTCAGGTCGGGGCGTACCCTAATCCCGTGCTACTAAACAGAATTTATCCCGAAATACAGCCAACTAATACATGTTCCTACTGCCTTGTAACATTTGCTCTGGCGGTGCCCAACGTTACGCTGTGGGGAAGTCATCACGCCGTCCAAATGGGAGGGCGCTATTGCAAGCTCAGGACTTGAACAACAGCTATGGACAGTCCACCGGGCCTGCGACGCAGCAGAGAGACTTGGTTTTCTGTTCTGACGTGGGAGCGGCCCGCCACGTGCTAAAGCACGTTCCGAAGGACCAAATAAAGTTCATCAATCCATCCACACATCCACGCTCCTTCGTGTTTCCTAACTTTACTGGTAAATCGCGAACTTTGAAAACTACTGCAGGGTACGAACGCACGTGCGCGCAGCTACAGTATTAAGTGATGCAAAGGGAGATGATTGAGCAAGATATAGCATGACGTGCACATCCTCCGATAAGCGTGTTTTAAAAACACCAAAGCACCCATGACATCGATGTTTTGGTTTATGCTAGGGAAGGCCGCAGACAGATTTTTTTTTTTTTTTGAGGGAGAAGGGGGCACCCTTTTCATATTACTGATGCCAGGGCTGAGTTGCGCTTAGATGGCTGAAGCTGCGAATACTTTACTCTATGTTATAGTGGCGGTAATATTGTTTTCAAGTCGCACACTTTTGATGGTACGTTGATGTATCTTTATTTTAGGGCTCCTCAGCAGTACCCAGAAGGTCATCCATGATTCTCTGTATTGTTCTTTTTATCGTTGATCTAGATTTGCCAGATCCCTGCATATTTCTAAGAATTGTCCATGTTCTTGAAGGTACCTTGCAAGGAACTACAAAATTGGATACATTCGTCAGCTGCTAACTTATGAGCACGTCCACCTCTACCGCTAGCGCTTCTCCAGAGTAGGGTCCTGTTGAGACACTCTCTTTTCCACCGTTTTAACAGACTATATATAGGCCTGCTTTCGAAGTTTTGAAGTATGTATTATACTTGCAGCTTGACCGGTACGTTGAGTACAGCGGTCAAATTCATATAACTCTCAAGTGCACGCTTGTGGCAAGTACAGTTCCAACGCCAGGGTGACAAGCCCGAAGCGTAGGCTCCAGGGACAACCCCTGCATGCTCTTGCACTCAGAAGTACGACAATGAGATGACAGATAGGACGAGTGGGTAGGCGTGCACCACAATGTGCTCCATCACCATGAATGTGGCTGCGAACCATCATAAGACGACAAGAGTCACAACTCGAAACGTCATGACGAACCACGAAGTGAACTCATATAAGGAAAACCGTCTATAAGCGCATCGTATTTGTACCTAACTAAGGTATTGACAGGGGTCAGGGCCTCGGTCAGGTGCACGTTAGCGCCTTTAGTTATCATCCTTTTGGTTTTATGTAAGAAAACTCACCATTTTGTGAATAAAAAGGATAAAAGATATGTGCATTGGTCACACAGCAGTGCCATTTTTAGAGTTTCCCTTCCTTCGTTCACATGCGTTGTTTGTGCTGTTTTGAAGACAACTCGCCCATTTGTCTGCTCCATCCAACGTTTTTAGATATCTAGAAACGCTGGCTCCATCAGAAAGTCTTGTCTTGTTGCCTAGAAGATCTTGGCTCACACCCACAAGGGGGACCGGCCATACTGTACCTTATAATGTAAATTTTCTACACAACGCTTGCTAAAAAAAGAGAAATTAGACAAGAACAATAATAACGTTCCTTTTAAAAAAGGGTGAAAAGTGCACAAGAATTTGATAAAACATAATTATAAAACAAATTAGCAAAAATGAATAATGGCGACAAAGAATTGGACATATTCGGCAGTACCACTAGCAGCGAATCATTCCGGTTGCCCGAATGAATTTATTTAGCGCTGACAGAATAGCACTGCGGCCCGCACCCAACTGACTGGCTCCAAACGATAAAAGAGTGAATGTATTAACTGCCAGTCCGAGCATACCAATTGGTCTCTCAAGAATTATTCGGCGCAGTGAGGCGAAGCAGCGGCATGCGAGAAGAAAGTGATCTATTGTTACCGGTTCATTGCAAACTGCACATAGATTAGTTAATGAAAGTCCTGATTTGTAGAGATAAAAATTTAACCGAGGAACCCTACAGCGAAAGCTTGTGAGGGTCACCTCATACATTGACGGGAAAGGCATTTTGTGGTGTTCCATGTGAATTGCAAGTACCGGAATTCTGCAAATTGTAGGAGCGATGTTTCGTTGATTTTTAAGATTAACAGGCGTTTGAATCGTTCGGCAGTAATAGAAGAAACTGTGGAGCTACTAGTACCACCGGGAAATTTAAAGATGCCGAAGCGAGCGAGTCAGCAGTTTCATTTAGTGCAATTCCAGCATGCCCGGAGACCCAAAGAAACCGAACTTCTGATAGGCTATGCGGTACGAGAGAGCAAAATATCCGGACAAGAGGAGACTGCTTTGCGGACGTTAAATGTGTACAAATAAACAAAGCATCCGAAATAATAATAGCTTTTGATTGCTGAGAAGTTAGTTTTGCAGAGCTAATGTAATAGCCTAGAATTCCGCGAGATAAATTGGCGTGAAGTCAGGCAATCGGAGCGCAAAAGACCAATTAAGCTGATGAGAAAAAGTACCTACTCCAGCCTTTTGAAGATTTCGCGTTGCATCCGTCGAAATTACTACATAATTAGGAAAATGACTGAGATGATCTTAGGAGGCCCTCCAGAATATGCTTTGGAAGTAACTTAGAGTTTTTTTTCTTTAGATGTCAATTAAGTCAACTGGCACCGAGCATAGGGTTCGGGGAGTTAAATGCTGGAGGGAAACGTGAAGATTTGATAAGAGAGACTCGACGAAAATGACTTGGGGTCTTTGATAACGACACCACGGGCGCTTAAAGAAAGAAACTGGATATTTCATGAAAACTGTCTGTGAACAGGAGAGGGGCGCATCGTAGAGTTTTAAAAATGTTTGCACGGTAAACTGTCGAAATCTTGCATCAAGTGGAATGATTCGAGCTTCCAAATAAAGCACGCTATTCGCAACACACCTGGGTAGCCCGAGACACAGCCGCAGAGCTTGCCTTTCTAGCAATATAAGAGTTCTTAATTTGTACTCAGCACTTCCGGAAGACAGAACACAATCAAACTCCAGAATTGGGCGAACGTAAAGTTTGTATATCACAAGTAACGTGTCCCTGTGCATTCCCGAATTCTTATTGCAAAACCGGCGTAGCAATCCTAAGTGTCGCAGTCGCTGATGACTTTTTCCTCTTCCCCTGCAGTGGGTCTAGCTAACAGCCGACCGCGGATGCAAACCTGCTGTCTCGTGCCGCGCGACCAACTGAGGCGGCACGGCGGCCATTACTGCGGGTTCCAGGACGAGAATGTCGTGCGAGCAGCGTCGCTGCAAATGGCGTTGCGGTGTCACCGGGGCCATGCTCGTCGGCCTGCCCCTGTCGCTGCTGGGGCTTGCCACGTTTCTGGGCCGCCGGGGCACGGCCTCCGCGCCAGGGCTCTGCTCGACGACAGCCTGCCGCAGCGCCGCAATGGCGCTCAACATCTCGCTGAGCCACAGCATCGGGCCCTGCCAGGACTTAGAGCACTTCGTTTGCGACGGCTGGCCGCACATCGAGAGAGCTGGCGCACGTGTAAAACTCATTATGAACTACGCCTGGTCTGCGTACCGGGTGCCGAAACGGAGCCAGTCGGCTGTGGACAAGGTCGTGGCTCTCTACCAGAGCTGCGTGGCCTCGCTGTCGCCCGGTGGCGGTGAGCGCAGCACGCTACGTGCATTCATCGTGCAGCTGGGCCTTGGACCCGCCAACGCGAGCATGGGCAGCGCTTTTCGAGCACTACTGCGGCTGTCTACTCGCCACGCGATGTACTTGCTTCTAGCAGTGCAGTACAACGTGCACAACGCAAGCGCCGGGGTCACGGTGCGACCTGCTCATCCACCGCCGACAAACAGCTCACCAGGTTACGTACTCCAGGTGGCCGAGATGGCGCTGCTGGATGACCCTGAAACCGTGGCGCACGACTTGAAGCTCATCGAGGGAGAACTGAGAGCAGCGCCCGCCGCCCAGCACGTGACTCGCACCGTACCCCTGGAGGTGATTGCCGAGGAGTGCGGCACGCTCAGTGACTTGCTCATTGAGCTGCCCGGCACAAACTCGCACACGCCGGTGGACGTCGAAGGACCGATGGCTGTGCGCTGGTACGCAAACTTCCTGCGGCGCCATCGTGGGGAGCCTGCGCTGCGACGCTACGTGGCGTGGCACACGGCCCGTGTTTTCGGCTCGCTGACGCAGTACGACATGTTCCGCGCCACCTTAGAAGAAAACCAGCTGGGACGGCTCGAGCCCAGTCCGAGCCTAATCAAGACCACCTGCCTAGCACAAGCTGCAAACCTCATGCCACTCGCCTATAACGCCTTCGTCGTTCGCCACTTCGCCACGCATCATACTCGCAGAGCCGTGGAGTCGATAGCCGACGGTTTGCGTGCGGCCGCCATCACCAGCGTGCGCGCATCTCACTGGATGAGCGACAGGCCCAAGGCCATGGCGACGCTCAAGCTGCGCAAGCTTGCCTGGATTCTGCCACGACACCGCAGCGAGGCGCAAGTGAACCACATCTATGCTCGCGTCAGCGACCTCGGCCTGAAGGACTTTCTCAAGTCGTACATCAACGTCACCGAACACAGTGGCCACAGGGACACACACGAGGCGAACCAAGCGGCCGTTGACGTCGCCTACTCGGCACAACGAAACATCATCACCGTATCTGCTGGTATACTGAACACGCCCTACTTCGAGGATACCCTGCCGGCCGCCTTCAACTACGCTGGCCTCGGGCAGCGCATGGCGCTCGAGCTACTGCACACGTTCGACGAGCTGGGGCGCTGGTACGATGCGCGCGGTCGGAAAATCAACTGGTGGGACGACGCGACGGCCGACGAGTTCCGGAACAGGCTCGAGTGTCGACACGGCGGAGGCGAGGCACTCATGGAGAGCAGCGCACTGCGGCTCGCCTTCCAGGCATTCCGCAGAACACACCAGCACGTGCTGCTCAAAGGTCTCGAAGTCTACACTCCGGAACAGATTTTTTTCATCAGCAGCTGCCACAAGTGGTGTGGGCACGAGAACAGCTACTGCAACGCGGCAGTACGCAACCTCGAAGAGTTCTCAGCTGCTTTCAAATGCAAACCGGGCGATCTCATGAGTCCGCACGAGCGGTGCCCGCTACTTGTGTGAGGAGGACATGCATGCATGCGAACTGGCAGCACTTCGAAGGGTGGAAGAAAACAAGCTTGGGTTCTGTATTGTTGTCGTGTTTTCTCAGTCGACTGCCAAGCACACACACATGCACACACTGCTTTTCTTTCTCAAGTCACTTAATTAACAAGCTAAAATGTTCATGGTTTACGCAAGTAGTAGTGCTTGCAGTACGTTACCGAATATTTTACCGACAGCGCGAACTTGCAGTACAAAGGAAAGAAACACCACACCGTGGGGGGTTGTGAGTTTCCAGTTTGCTATATGGATCGGCACCACTTCGCCCAATGAGTCACGCTTCTACTGTTCATTACTTGCACAGTTATTTATCCTCTTCATGCGTGTTTCCATCGGTGGGAATATGTCGTGTGGGGTGGGGGGGGGGGTGCACAAATTCAGGTGGAGTTAAACACCTTCAGTGGATACGTTCACGGAAACTTATGACGTCACGTCACAACTGCGCAAGCCAACATGGCGGCAAAATCGAATAACGTTAGGTTTAACCACTGCGAACGTAGTATGACGGCCGACCTGTAACCGAACCGCGTATTTCGCAATTTTGAGTTTTTTTTGTTTCTCTCTAAACAAGTCTCGAAATTCAACGCAATCAGCGCAAACAAAATGATTACACAACGGCGATACATTCAGATGAAACCACCAAAGGCGTGAAGACAGCGAATGTCGAGTCGACGTTATCATCGCTCAGTTGACTTGCAGGACGACCACGACAGAATACATTGGGTATTTGTTTAGATTTTCTAACAAGCAGCAAGCTTGCGTCATTATACTTAAATTATCCTCATGTTCATCACTAACTAATCTTACATTTCCTGAGCACGATGGCACGAAGTATAATTGTCGCAGCTCTTTTCACCACTGTAATAAAAAATCTACTCTACAGACTCCAGCAGACGCTGTAAAAATACATGACGTCACGATCATTTCGGTCACGAGCCACCTTGGCAAACTGGATTACCGGGTTTGGTTCAGAATGGCAAAGTTCTCGTATTGATTGCATTTTACTGCTTTACAATGATGGTAAGTTTAGTTTCCGTTGAGTAAGTTGTGTCCAATATAGCAAGTAAACTTCAGTAAGAAAGTTTTACCACTGCATTGTGGCAGCCTGTGTTGCAGGATGCCAGTTAACAAAGCCTTTTACTTCACCGAACGAAATTCCGGTCGCCAAAAGAACGACAGCCGTAGATGCGAGAAATCATGTCGGAAGTACATTCAAAGAAATGACGACTGTTCGCGATAGTCGCCCACATTGAGCATCAGGAAATCAGTTTTGCAAACTGTGCACAAACAGTTTATTACAAGCTGATACGCACAGGGACACATAAAGGTAGTCGTCATGCGTTTGTTGGGCGGTAATGCCAGCTACGCCACTTTCCGCGGAGTATGCTGGCCTAGTTCACGCGCACCCGAGTGGAAGACCAGAAGCGGCCTTTCTTCACTGCGGCTGTAAGATTTTCGAAGAGGCCTTCTGCACCACAGCGTACTCGGCGCCGTTACGGCGCACGTGCTGCACGTCTTCAGAGTCCCCCCCAGGGCCCAGAGGCACGTTCTCGTAGCAGTGCTGCTCCAGCTGTTCGAGGAGCGCCGAGCCGTCGAGCGAGGCGCGCACGCACGAGGCGACCGCTCGGAAGATGTCCTCGGCATCGGCGGCGTGCCAGCTGAACAGGCCCTCGCCGGAGGCCGCCTTGCGTCCAGCCTCGAGCGAGAAGGTGCGGCCAGGAGGCCGTACCGGCGGATGCTGTTGTACGGCCACCAGAGCAGCGCGGCACCCAGCGCGCCGCGCGGGCCCCGCTCGGCCAGCGTCACGCCCCGCGGTCCGACCAGCAGGAAGAAGGAGCCTCGTAGGCCGCACCTCTCGGCGGCCTCCGTCGGCAGGGCGTGCACCCGAAACACGTGGGCTGCAAAAGAAAGGCAGATGTAATAATGCTGAAATCGAAGGGAATGCGGTTGTGGGGTTTGGTTTGCCACAATCTGCGGAGACTTTTCATTACAGCCGGTGCAACGATAACTTCATGCGACCACTTCGGGATTTCCCACGCCAACTGCATGGTGCGCGTTTCGGAAATGTAGCATTTCCAGAAAGGCGAAATTAGGCTGCTAATTAAGCCTTCATAATTGTTTGTGTTTAAGGTTTCAAAATCACGTTACAAGTATGAGGGACACCGCAATGAATCTAAAGGTATCTGCAAATTTAGACCATCTAGTGTTCTTCAACGTGAACCTGAATCTAAGTGCATGGGCTTCTATCATTTCGTCTCCTTAGAAACACGGCCGCCGCGGTCGGGATTGCATCCCGCCCCAAAAAAAGATATTGTCGGTGTTGAGCGCGGTTGATACCCCTGTCACACAGGCACCCGCGAACTCCGCCTAGTGCGGTGCGTGTCACGCAGTCTCCCTTACGTCAAGGACGTTAAACGAAGCTTTTCGCGAAGGGAGATGAGCGATTTTAAACCGAATTAGTCGAGCGCGGTTTCACTTGGGAAAGCACGAGAAAAGCATTGGCAGAAATTTAACTTTGTTGCATGTCTTTACTTAGGCAAGGACAAGGCTTCCCAACTGCGGCACTGAGCTGGCAACTGCCCGTTGTTCCCGCCAGCAGACACGCTTACGAGCGCGCTTTTTCTTCAACGGGACTTCGCTGCATGGCCGGCGTTGCGACGACCCGCGATGCGCATGATACAAAGCACGTGATCAACGCGGTAATAAATGCCGGTGCGAACTCGTCGGCCTTGATGTCCGCAATGCAGAAACAATAAGAACCGAGCGTTGGCCGAGTCAATTGTGGATCGCATTTTGGGCAAAAAAAAAAGGAACGACACGGCCGGTCAAGCTGAGACGCTAGCATGGCCTTGGCTGAGCATCAAGGTCAGACTAACGAAACCAAGCGTTTTGTGTTTGTACCTTGAGGCATAAGCATTCATACCGGTGGCGGGGAATCAGGGAGGCCCCCCCTTTAGTTTCCTAAAAGAGGGTGAGGCGCAAAGTCTGCCCCGTGTATACATTGCTCATTGCAGCGGAGGAGGCATTGCAATGAGCAATCTATACCACAGCGTACCACAGCATACTCGGGAGGGGGGGGAGGGCGAAGGCTCATTGCAGCGGAGGGGGCGCTGCAATGCAATTTGCCCCACACATTTTCAATTGCATTGAAGCCAGGTGACGGGGGGGGGGGGGGGAGGCACATGCGCATCATAACGGTCTTCAGTGACCTAGCTGTTTACCACTTCAGCGACCGCATGCCGACTGTATTCTTTAGTGTAGAGCTTGACTATGCGAAGCCTTTCATCCTCAGGTACACTGGCCATGTCACATCTAAGAGCTGGCACCACCAAACATTCGTTCAGCGAATAGTTACGCCACCAGCTGTGGAATTCTGTGAAAGCGATAACGAAGCCCATCACTTGCGTAACCTATAGTGTCGATGCTTACCAAAATGTTAGTCGTAAGCTTCGAACAACGCTCGAACTGCTATGACCATGCATGGCTACAGCAGCCGCCCGCAAGTACCGGTCTAGCCTTACTGCAATCGAATGAGCATAAAGTACAGTCGGTTACAACTTTAGAAGTCGTGAGGGGCATTTCCTCCTCAAATGCGGACGCACACAAGCCTGCATCAATGGGCGTGTACTCCAGCCTGAGCCAGACAGCCGTCCTTGCCGAGAGCAAGAGCGGGACTTTAGTCGCTGAGGTGATCAGCTACCGCGCTTCGGTCGTCTTAGTGGGGAGGCTGAGGCTTAGTAAATGCCCAAACTCGTGCTCGGACGATGGGGCGGCGGAAGCAATGAGGTCACCCACGTCACGGCCATGCTTGGAGCGCGCGGACATCAAGGCACCCTACAGGCCATGCTGGGACACAGTGCCAGCAACTCTGATGCGGTCTTGCTCACGTACGCATACGTTCCTCAAAATGAGCAGAGGTTATTGTCATTTGCTGCCGAGTTTTAGCGCCTTATATCAACTACAACTGCCTTGGTAAAGCAAGGGTGCCATGCCTAGCAGTTGGCGTGCAAAGGAAGTGCCCCATAGTGCAGCGGCTGCTGCGCCAGTTGCAAGCAGCAGCCGTGCCGGAAGAACACCGCAGCGATAACAAGGCGGAACATCCGGCACTCAGCCGCACTGATCTCGCACGAGACACGCGGCTGGGAAAGACGCGACAAACCGCGCTTGTACGCCGCGCCTTATTCTCCAAAGTGCCTTTCTATTGACTCCGTGAGGTCACTATGAAGAAACACAGGTATAGTCAAAATTAACCCGGAGTCACCCACCAAGGCGAGCCGCGTAATCATATCGTGGTGTTTGGCACGTTATAAACTTGGTGCAATTCAGTTTAATTCGCATTATTACGGCCAAAGTACAAAACGAAATTTAAAAAGAAGGTACTAAAGGGGCGCCTAAGCAGCTCTTGTCCCGAGTGAATACGAGAACATAAACTGGCGCCGAGTGCGGTAACCGAAATTCGTTGCCTTAAGATGACTTCACACGACAAAACGAAAGGCGCACAACGAAAGAGGACGGATGGATGGGTGCTATGAGCGTCCCTTTTATACCGGCACGGTGAAATGTGCGCCATTACGCTCGGGGAAAAAAAAAAGAAAAAAAATTTGCTTGCTTAAATCAACCCATTTTTTAACCACCCAGCTCTCTGCCACTTACGACAGAATGTCGTTATTTTCCCCACTATGCATTGTCATCCTTTCTACTTTTCTGCCACCAATACCGTCTCTTATTTATATCGCGGACGTGTTCAGCGTTCCATTTATGTCCGTAAAACCCAAGTCTTCGTGTAGGTTCATGCCCAAAGACATGGGTGGATATCTCCATATTCATCATTCCGTAGTTCCCTTAGCTTCCCCACAGCATGTACAAAGATGATGATGATCTGCCACTGTTCCCTTTTTTAACGAAATGGTGTAATGACCCCCTAGGACAAGGCGAGTACACGTAGCAGTGACCTAATGTCTTGCAGGGCCAGCTGAAGCGCCATCTCGCGAATCGACCAACCACGCCATTCACGGCCTGTCACAACGCTCGAGCAGTGGTTCGAACCCTCACGTGGCCGTGAACTTAAGTGAGAACGGCTTTCCGATGCCGGCGGGGTCGCACGATGGGCTAAATAAATCTCTCGAAAACGGCGGCTAAACTGTTCAAGTCCTAATGACGTCCGGTGTGGCAACTAGCAGAATTTGGATAAAGAAACCTTGGCGACCATTAAAATGACCCCCCTTTTTTACCACTACATTAACGAAAATAGCGCTGAGAAAAAAATACACTCGCACTTAAAAAAGTTTGATTTTATCTGGCTTGTCATTATGGTGACGGGGGAGAGTACCGGCTGTCGACTAGTGACCAACTTACGGGCATCAAGAGATCCGTACAGGGTGTTCTCCTCCTCCAGGGTGGGTGAATCCTGCGCTGCAGATGTCGCGACAGCCTGCTGTCCAAACGTGACGCCTCGGATCGCCTCGATCCACTCTGTCATCTCGCCGAACGAGTCGGCAGAGAAGTGCTGGCTCTGTGTGCGCGTATGCACCTGAGAAGTGACGAGTGCTCCTCGTGGTGAAAGTATACGCGACAAAACGCGCATGTAGTACATACTGTCAACACGCAGCTTCCACTCTCAGCAAGCACCAAGGGCAGCATAGAGAGCAAAACAAAGGTAAACAATGATCGAGTGTTGAACTTGGGGCGCACGTATTGGCCACATCACAATCTTTGACGTCATATCTATGGCAATCCGCGAATCGCATTGGGAGTTTTAACTATAGTATAATTGTTAAAAAAATGTGAACAATGGACTAGATGCTTGAGGGCGTGTTTATTCTGGCGTACTGACGGGCCGCAGATTTAAGCGCGCTAGAATTAAATTAAATTTTAGTGATAGACACACACTCGTCTGTTAACCTGTTTCGCAACATACAGGTTAACAGAAAACCGCTTGAGGGGAAAAAAAAGCGAAAGAGCTAGCATAAAAAAAGGAACATCATGTTTTGGAGAGCGTCAACCGACTGCTGCCGGCCCTTATGCAATTAATAAATGATTAACAATCAACGATAGACCTCATTTAGATTATATTAGGTATGGCAAAAGAATTGCCACTGAAAAGAAAAAAAGAAATGAACAGTTCCGCTACTAGAACTATACTAGAACGGAAGCATCAAACGAGATCGAGGTCGTTTACGAACAGCACTTTTAAACGTTCTGCAAGACGAGGTGGCAAGTTCGGCATTCCTTTTTTGGTCCCACCGCGCGTCGGAACGTGTCAAAGCGCGCTCTACACAGCTGGGCAGTTTCGTTTCTAGGGCGGCAGCGTACATTTCGATCGACTCCCGAGTGGCTCACCTCGAACACGTTGGGCTGTTGCTTTTGCAACGCGGGCACGACCTTAATGCAGTCCCCCAAGGTGATGCACTTTTGCTGGGCATGGCGAGAGAAGCCCTCCTCCGAGTCGTACACCTCGAGTCGCTTCACGCCGTGGCGGCCGCTGTCGTACAGGGCGCAGTACTTGTGCAACCACGACTTCTGCAAGAACACCACACTCGCCAGGTTTACCGTCCACACAACCTGCCCGTTCCCGACTACATTTCAGGATTGGCTGCGACGCTGATGGCAACGAGGAAAGGGTGCGCACGCGTTCATCATCTCCGCCAAACGATCGTACGGAAGTTGGAACCAGAAGGAAGCAGAACACAGTGTTCATATACTGAGACAAAATTAAATTTAAGAAAATGAAAGGGGATCGCAACAGTGAGGTATGTACACAAGTCTGTAACGGAGCAGACTGATCGCGGCGTATCCCACTCGTGCGGTAAGCGCGACGAGAGAACGGCCGGCCATGCAAAATGACACGCGCGTTTCCATACCTTGAGGAATCCCTGGTGTAGCACGTGCAGGTAGCCAGTCTTGGCGGGCTCCTCGCTGCCCATCTCACCATCGTGCAAGGCAGCCCGTGCGATTCGAGCGGCGCCTCCGGATGTGGAAGAAAAAAACGTCCGTGGCGGGACGGCGGCCGCGTCGATTGCGGAAGTGTGCCTCTGAAAATCGCCCGCCTTTTGTTCTGTGCGTTGGTTGGTTGTCGGAGCGAGCGCATCAGCGCTGCGGGCGCCGCCACCGATGTGGGTGCCCCGCTCAAAAGAGAGGAGGAGGAGGTTAGTGCCGCTATTGCACCAGTTGCGCGATGAAGGGAAGTCGGGATGTTTACATTAGTTTCGCCCACGCAGAGCTCATTTGGTTTCGCGGTTACATATTTCCCGGCAAGCAACCCCCCAACACACACACAAATCATAGTGATATACTACCCTCTCACAACAAAAACACCACCCGGGCCTTGGAAGTTTTTGCGCAAGCTTGCCGTGGCGTCTTAACTGACGGCAGCATGCACAATTTTTATCGGCAAAAAAATAAATAGAAAAGTCTTTTAAAGGTGCCAGAAGTACGGCACATGGCATGTTTTGTAAACTTTTATTGAAGCAACAAGGTAAATACAAAAATAGCTGATGAGAAATCCGTGACGTTAGACTTACGACGCTAAAATAAAAAAAATGTAACCCCACCCATCATTTTGTGTGCTAATGAACCTACGATGCCAAAATAAACAGTTTCCCACAGAAAAATTTACCACTACAATGCAATTTGGTTTTATTGGAGCATCCCTCGAACACACAATCATCTGATTTATTTGCCCCATTGTGCCCATCTGCTCCACCCGACACAGGTGCCCACGAAAAAAAAAAAAGAATGAAATGCATTAAATAGTCAGCTTGCACCTGAAGCACTGCAGTCAAGGTGCTCCTGCATGAGCCGTTCCAAGTCCACCTCCTCCTTCTGATTGCAAAAATCCAGAGTTCTTAAGTAAGCTAAAACATTCTGGCGAGCCTTCTGCACCATAAGACACCAGGCCTGAAGCTCTGACTTGGTTGACTTTTCTGCAAAAAGCAAGCACCCGCAGTCAATGGGTCTACTGTATTGGGGGCAAATTATTTTAATCAGTGCAGAATTTATTCGCAGCTCGAACATGCATGTAAGGCTAAAAAATGTAGCTTTACCTTCTTGCGCTTGCCTGATGAGCTTGGACACAAGGGCACGAAGCTCAAGGTCCCAGATGTGAATTTGACCAGGAGGTGCTGGCTCAGTAATGCTATCCACAATATCCATGGGAGACCACGGTTGTTTTGATGCAGTGTCCAGAAGGGCCATTACCTTTTCCCTACATGGAAACAAAGGTACGTTAACACTGCCACAATCTTTATGGCGCTAATGCAGCTAAAATATATGAGGGAAAAAGGAACATTGAAAACTATTTATTCTCTACCAAAGACAAAACGCAAGCAGCACTGGTGGCACATGGCTAGAAGCTACAGCAGAGCTAATGTTTGACGTAGCTTTTCTAAAGGTTTTTGCTAGTGAGGCCAAGCTTTTTGTAGAGATGCGAAGAAATGTTTGATGACTGGTATGTGGAGTTTAGTGTAACAAAATCACCATATGATTATGAGAGACGCCACAGTGGAGGGCTCCGGAAATTTCGACCACCTGTGGTTCTTTAATGTGCACCCAAATCTGAGCACACAGGCCTACAGCATCATCGCCACAGCCGGGATTGGATCTCGCGACCTGCGGGTCAGCAGCCGAGTACCTTAGCCACTAGACAACCACAGTGGGGCGCCAAAAAATGTTTATTGTGGCAGAAAAGGGGAGTGGGTGGAAAGGAAAGAGAGAAGGAACGTTGAAAGGTGTGTGCGAATATTCAAAAATTTTGAATAACAAATCTAATAGCGCTGTATGCGATTCGGTGCTCGAATCGAATAGTATATATTCAAAAATATTTGAAATGATGAATATTTTTTTAATAGTTTTCGAATAATCAGCACTGATGGGAGAAACCAAAAACAACAAAAATTTTGGAGCAGCTAAAAGTCATTCTTCTTTTAATCCCTAAAGTGAATCTCACGCAGACCAAGCTTTTACGAGACTATTAATACCATATTGATTGCCGTATGAATGTGTTTCATTTGAAGACCCCTCTCTATATGAATTTTTACTATGCTAAGTAAGGGCCGGATTAACAGTGCAGTGGACCCGGTTAAAAAAAATATGGGGGGCCCCTTGCCCCACTTCCTTTTTTTCCCGCTTTGTCATCTGGTCATGCTTGAGACTTGAAACTTTTTAGATTTAGCTACAGAGAACACAAACCGTATTTATTCTAACCTCTCCAGAGTGTTTAAAGTCACCTGGGCATTTCCATTCTTGCAGAGCACGTGTAGAGATTGTCATCGTAATAATTAACTATATCAGGAGAGCAGACACATAGACAGCATTAAGATTTGTCTGGTTCATTGGACCACACTCAAAGAAGAGTAAACTGTGCAAGAAGTTTACACGAAAAGAAGGAATACAGACAACACTTAGAAGTGCAATCCAAACACCGTGTAAAACCTATAGAGTTGTATACCCTTATTTGAAGAGAACATATTTTCTCTCGAAAATCAGGAAGCGCCTTTGTGAAAAATAGCTTCCTCTATCTGCTCCAGCTTCACTGATTCGGTAGCCCACGCTTTGGTTGCCTGCATGTGAGCACTGCCGAAGTTGACAGGTGGGCCTTAAAAACATAAGAACCGTGCTGCCTCGTGGATCATTGAGCGTGGCAGCGGTGTTATGTGATCTCGAACAAGCTGCGCACATCCGGTTGGCTTGGAGAAGCATCATGCTCACCTGAGACGCCGGTGGTGGCATGCGGTTGCGTAAAAAAAGTTCAAAAGTGATGGTCGGTTGAAGATCCCCACCACAACGCTCAAGAAATCGTGGTGAGGGTCTGGTGGCGACCAGATAGTGGATATATGTTGTAAATATTTCCTGTGCACAACCTTTACCAAGTAATGGTCCTTTGAGTTTCCCTATATAGCCACCAAGCAGGAATTAAGACAGAACGGCGATGCCAGAAGCGAAGAGTCAAACCATTACTCCTTCAGAGCCCTTGCATAATCGGGAAGTTCTGTATCATACAAATATTTCATAGTGCATTGCTTACACTATAATGAAAGCATATTATAGCAAACCTATGCAACAGCGTCATACTGGTTATTTTCATTCAGGGCATTAAACGATATTTCAAACAAGAACCACTCTCTATGCACCTTCCCATTGCATGTTGGACCATAGCTGCTAAAATTCTCGTCAGGCTGCTTATGTGTCCATCCACTGGATCAGCTCCGTCTCTCTGCACAATGCATGGTCTTGGGTGAGTAAAAGGTTTTTACCACAGACTATGGAACTGTGAGCCGATTTCAAGATTATGCACATTATGCAATGAACAACCTCTTACTAGCCTGTATATTGATTATTGAAATAGATAATATGCTTCTAACAGAGAAATCCAGCAGGAGGGTTAAACTTTTTCAAGCAAAACAACGAAGTCAGCCAATTTTTTTGGCCCTTGAGCGGCCCCCTAAAACCAAAGGGCCCGATTCATTTGAACCCTTTGAACACCGGATAACCCGCCTCTGACTATGCTGAAGTATCACATTAATCAGCTCCTGTATCCATCTTGTAATAACTGCTTTCAGCTTCGTAACTAACAACAAGTGCTAGTGTTACATTTGCATGAATTGTTCTGGTAAGTATAAATTTATATGCTGATTTGACATGTTTTCAATGAAATGACCATGTTGTGATTACAGGTTCATCTGCTTCATTACATCTTAAGCTGTATAAGCAGTGTCTGGTTGATAATTGTTTAGTTCTTGTGTCCCAATTTTTTTTTTAATCAGCTGACAAAGTCTCACATTGATAACATATGTGAATGCTATATTTGAACATACAGTTAGAAAATATTACGAAGGCTCTAGTTCTTGCTGTATACGAATTTATACCTTAGCTTTTGTAATTGAGGTATCTTGAGGAGATTAAAACTTACTGTAATGGTCTTTGGCAAAAGCTTGCGAATATTTATTTTAAGTAAATTGTTTTGGTGTTCTAAGACTGTCTTGAAAATGGTCTACTTACGATTAGAAACCTATTCAAACAGTATTAGCTTATGTTCAAAAATTTACTATTCACACACCCTTAGTTGTTCATGATGATGAGGAAAGTGGTACTGAAGCAAAACCTTAGTAGTACTAAGTATGGTTAGGTATTGTTACCCTTCTCAGCGGCTTCTGTCGGTTCTAAACACTACGCACGTGTGACATGGTTTTGGCGAAAACATGTCACAAGACCAGTTACAAATAATTTAGAGAGCTTTCACGTGATGCTAAGTGTTTTTTAATCATGTGACTAGTTGTCAAGCGATGTCACGTGATTTGGGTTACATGACTAGTTCTTACATGTTTATGGCGGGAACATGTCCCATGAATAGCTGTTACATGATCTTAAGTCAAGTGACTAGTTGCGCTCTGGTGACTAGCTGTTACGTAATTTCAAGCCAAGTGACTAGTTGTTACATGGTTTATGGCCGGAACATGTCACGTAACTAGCTACGTGTTTTGGCAAACATGCCACGTGACTAGCTGTTCCATGATTTCAAGTCATGTGACTAGTTACGTGGGAAACATGACACGTAAGTAGCTAACAAGATTTTCAGTAACGTGACTAGTTACATTCTGTCAAACATATCACGTGACAAGCTGTTACATAATTTTGAGCCTTGTGACTAGTTGTTACATGGTTTCTGGGAGTAACGTGTCACTTGAGTAGGTGCTACGTGACTTCTAGACAATGAACAAAGATGTTTCAATAAATATATTCTGGCACACATGTCACATAACTAGCTGTTACATGATTTTGAGTAATGTGACTAGTTATTAATGGTTTATGGCTGGCATATGTCACGTGAGTTTCTGTTACATGATTTTTAGTCACGTGACTAGTTGTGTCTTTTGGTGAACGTCACACGACTAGCTGTTACGTGATTTCGCGTCACATAACTAGTTACATGCTTTATGGAGAGAATATGTCATGTAAGTAGCTGTCAGGTAATTTTTTGCCATGTGAATAGTACTTGACTTGTTTTGGCGAACATGTCACGAGAGTAACTGTTACGCGGTTTTGAGTCACATGACTCACATGAATCACATGAGTAGTTACATGTTTCATGGCATTAACATGTCACGTGATTTTAGCTGCATGACTAGTTATGCTATGTTATGTGATTCTAGCCTTGTGAATATAGTCGGTGACAAGCTAAGAATAAAAAGTAAAGTGTACCACTGTCCATTTGTATTATGCGCGTCCAACTGCGGCTGCTCAGTACTATAACGTAAAAGTCATGATGAACCAATGACAAATTCAGCCTGGTGCTGTTCGCGACGAGAGGCGATGTGCTGCTGCACCGGAACCGTCAGGCATCCACTCGGTTTTCTGCGGTTTCTTCGTCAAGAAGAAGCTATTTCATGCACTCGCCCTCGGGATAATCGTCGTCGGCCGTCATTCGATGCTGGCATTTATGATTTTGCAGCGTTTCAAGTGCACCAAAGCGACAGAGCTTCCTCGCATTCCGTCAGTTAGGCAGCCTGAAGCAGAAACACGGTGTCTATTCTCTGCGTTGCTAAGATGGCCACTCTTGACGATTGTCGTCGTGGTCATTTGTGTGCAGTAAGGTGCAGGTGAAGTCTGAATGTACGCGTGTGTGTTCTGTGGAACGTGCGGGTCTGTAATTTACCGCCCGCAAAAGGTGTGGCACCAGCGTTGCCGCATGTGCATGTGAGAGTGTAGTACTTTGGTGTCACAACGTGACAATCTTGGTGATCGTTTGCAATATACGCTGTGTTGTGCACCCATATGACTGTTGTAAGTGCGGGCGAGATGTAAGAAAAAAGTAGCCGAGAGGACCTGGCAGCATCACACCGTACGAGAGTAAACAAAGATGGTGGGGAGAATATGCATTGGTGTATGCATTAAAAAGCGAATTGTGGTCATCATGTGTGTGTGTGATTATTTTGACGTGTACCAATTGGCACAGCTGCATCTTTTCACCGGAGTTTATCACCACCGGCGCATAATTACGTGCCAGATCGAAATGTCTGCTGCGTAAACGCTTGTCTCACGCTCAAAGTAGAAACGCCTTGCATGAAAAACGTCGTGCAAGGTTCTTCAAACTGGGAAATGACGTGAGCTATATAATATTGCTACATCGATCGTTATCGATGCAGCGATCACGATCAATCAGGATCAGTTACATTGATCATGATCTGATGTCAATAAAACTATTGTTAA